GGGAGGGGGGGACCGGCACGCTGGGACTGGGAGGGGGGATCCGGCACGCGGTGTTCCCTGGTGGTCCTCGTGGGTGAGTGAACTCTAGCCCGTGAGGCTAGAGTTCACTCTCGCGAGATCCGGTCGTTGCCATGGCAACGCGCCGGATCTCGCGAGAGGAACCCGGCGGAGCTGCAAGTTAGAGCTCCGCCGGGTCCTCTCTCCAGCCTAGCTAGCTGGCTGTCTCCCTCTCCCCGCCGGCGGCCGCATGTGGGCCGGTCAGGGAGATCCTTGATCTCCCCACCGGCCCGTCGTGACAAACAGCGGGGCCGGCGCTAGGAGAGTGCCGGCCCTGCATAGACCGGCAGGGGAGATCCTGTGATCTCCCCTGCCGGCCTCGGCCCATGGCCACCGCGGCCCACCGGGCATTTGCCCGGTGTGCCCGATGGCCAGTCCGGGCCTGCCTACCACCATGGTTATTTCAAATCAAGGAAGTGGTCATGTTGTTTGGAGTAACCCTTAACCTGTTTGTTTACTTCTGCTCAGTCAACACACTTGAAGAGAAGTTCGGTGGAGGTAAATTATATAGTTAAATTACAAGTTTAATCTTTGAAACCCATTCTTTTATGCTGTTCATCCAAAAGATGGAAAAAAAACACAGTTGTAGCCATTCTAATTATACAACAAAAATTTTAAAAATCCTACTTTACTCCTCAGTCAAATTTCTCCTTATATCTACAGTCCATATATATATACATATATATATATATAATATATATCCATTAATATTTTGTTTGTTTATGTAAAAAAAGTATCAAAGCCTTTAAAAATATATATATATTTATATATATTTAAAATCTTATAAGACAACCTCTTAGGCAGAGAAATACACATCTTTATTGTTCTTACTGTAAAGAACCCTTTCCTCTGCTGTAAGCAAATTCGCCTTTCATCCAGTGACCCTATAATGCATATTTGTATAGTGCTATAATATGGCCTCTGAGGCATGTTTTTCTAAAGAAAACAAATTCAGTTTTTCTAGCCTTTCCTCGTAACTAATGTTTTCCATCCCCCTAATTAATTCTGTAGATCTCCTCTGCACTTTTTCTAGTTCTCCAATATCTTTCTTTAAAACTGGTGCCCAAAATTGAACTGCATGTTCAAGGTGGGATAATACCATTGATAAAGAGGCAAAACTATATTTTGATAACGTGAATCTATACCCCTTTTTATACACGAAAGCACCTTACTAGCTTTTGCAAGACAGACCAGCATTGCATACTGTTGCCTAGTTTATTATCTATAATTGTTCCCAAGTACTTTTCATTTAATGTTATCCCTTACTCAACCCCATTTAATGTGTAAGTAGCTTGTGATTTCCTTATTCTACAATGCATGTCTTTACATTTATCTGTATTCAATCTCATCTGTTACTTTCTTGCCCAGTTCCCAATTTTATCCAACTCCATCTGTAGAGAATTTATGATCCTAGGTTTGTGTCATCTGCGAACACAGACAAACCCACTTCAAGATCATTTATAAACAGATTAAAGAGGACCCTGAAAAACTCCACTTACCAATTTTGTCCAATTTGAAAATGTTCTATTTACATCTCCTTTCTGCATTCTATCTTTAAGCCACTATTCTATCCAAGAACATGATTTTCTTTTTTCTAAACTAACTGATTTCAGTTTTAATGATAGCCTTAATAGTAAAATCTTTTCTAGGTGGAATTTCCTAAAGAGTGCTGGACATGTGTTTTTGTTCTCCCCCTTGATTTGATGCTGTGTGGAATCTTTGGAAATGTATTTATTTTAGTTAGAAAAACTGGGTCTCTCCTTGGCACCCAGAGATCTCCTCCTCTCCTGCATTGATTAAATGGAATTAACGCTTCCACATTATCCGTGCAAAATTACTGAATAAGCTCCACTTCAATGCCTGCTTAGAACATTACCTGGGGATTTTTATGAAGCTGTCAAAGTTCAAAAAGTGTCTCAGTCACTGTAGAATCAGCAGGAGCATTCCACTGGTTTCCTTAATGATTGCACCATGTTTAGAACATTGCCTTACTTTCTGTTAGCTATAATGTATAATATATCTCCCCACTGCATAATATAGTTTACATACAGGGTTTTAGACACTAAGTCAAAAACTGTGGAGAATTGACAAGAGTATTGCCGAGGTAGTCAAGTTGGAAAAACAGCTGAGGATTTTTTCCAGCTTGGTTGTTTTGGCCAAATTTATGTGAAGTGGAACACTTTTTTTGAACGCCAATGGTTGGGAACATAAATAAATAAATCTTTCTGTGTTTATCACTTTTGGAGATAAAGAACACAAGTATAAAGTTTACCTTGTCATATTGTATTTTTTATTTCTTCAAAAAATTGTCATTTAGCAGTTTTTGTGTTTGCTTTGGCCTGATCATGTTTCAACAGTTCCCAGTTAAGTGCATCAACCCTCTCCGTGATTCACCTCGTTGCTTCAGTTCAGTAATATATTCTGTGTTCTCGTGCCTGAAAAGTCTCTTTGTGAGATTTGCCCTGTTAGTCGGGAAGAGAATACTTTGTTGACGTCAGCGATGGTTGCAGATAAGCAGTGTTCTTTGTTGGTGCCTAAACCTGCTTCTTCCTGCAATATTAGCACCTGCTGCTAATGTAAGCCATGTTCTAATACTAAGGTAACTGTGGTTTAATATTAGATAAGACATAAATATAATACATACCATATAATTACATCTAGTGCTTTAGTTTCTCTTCCTATGCAGTGAAACTATAAATGTTAAAGTATTTTTCTGTCTGATTTATAGTGGTTGCAAATAATGATCACACCAACTTTAAGCTGTTAACATTCAGACATTGGAGAAGGTAGTTTTGTATCTATGTGCCCCTTTAACTTTATCAACTGGAGGTAATTTAAATGTAATGTATGAGATGAAAAACAAAAACTAAATGATATATTATTTATATATTTTCTTATCCTCATTTGTCTCTCCTTTTTCCTCTCTTCTTAGTCCTCAAACACAGACTTGTGGCTGAGCCTATTTAAGGTGATTCCCTCCTTCCTGCTCTCAGTCATTAGACCTCAAGATCTTTATTTAGCACATGCAAAACAAAATATTTTCTAAAATACATGGTCCTTAACAAGCCAGTGACTCATCTCTAACAATATTAATGCTGAAGCCTAAATTCCCGACTGACATGATCAACAGGTCCCGTAACATACCACTCACTCCCCTCCACGTTCATTCAGTATAGGTATTCATCACACACTTCATTTCACAGGCTGGCTTACCTAAGATTAAGAGTCTGTCTGTCTGTATGCTGTGTTCTCAATTAGTGAAAGCTGCCTCTGTTTAATTTTCAAGAGTCAGTGACTCTTCTGTCTCCTGTCACTTAACACCCCCCTTCCTTTCTCTACATACACCTTCCAGCAGCCCTGTGTGAGCTTGGGGGAGTGGAGTATTTGAAACAAGCTCCTGCATGTAATGGAATGCAACACATAGGGAAGAAGGGACAAGAAGAGGTAAATCAGTCAAATAAGATATCCTACTAAAATGTCACCTGTTGGGAATAGTTTTGGAAATTATTGGGACAGGTGTTATGCTTTGACTAGAAATCATATGAAAAGGACTGCATGCAGTGAAGATTTTTACATAGAGCCTCTTAGATGTATAATAAAATTGTTTCATGTGATTGTCATCTCTTAATTTTTTTAATAAGGGTAAATGAATGAAAGATTTATTTGAGTTACAGTGGCCTAAGGCTTGATGCTTTTATACAGGTATTTTCTATACGTATAGCAGCAGTAAGCACATGTGAATTTTGCAGCTGTTTCCCAGAGAAGGACAGAAATAGATTTTTGGCATACATAATTGACATAATAATGCTTCCTCCCATACTATAAAACCAGCAGACCCTAAAACTGAGCCAGTATCGACCTTTCCCTCAAGGGACAGGATAGGCGAGATGTCACATTTTTATTTTTGTACCGGACCCATGGTGAAGGCACCTGTTGTGCAGCATGTGTTGTGATTCAGGGCTCTTTTGGCTTTTGTTGGGTGCATTCGTGCAGTATTCAAACCCTTTCCTTAGAATTTGTCCTTGGATATGCATGCTAGGTGCCTCTTCCCACTTTCTGCCTATACTAGTCAGGTATCAGGAATGGCTTTGACGTGTTACAAAGACGTGCATGCTCGGTGTGAAGGGTGGAACACAATCATCCCCAAGAGGCCTGATACCAGAATATCTCCTCTGGTATCATTAGACAACTTATTTTCTTTTGATTACAAAAAAACCCTACATACTAAACATTTTGCCTCAACCTGGAATCCATATCTTCAGCTACTCTGCTTATGCTAAAAGTCGATGGAATCTTTGGATCTAAAAGATGCTTAATGGACCACTCTGGGCACCCAGACAACTTCAGCTCAATAAAGTGGTCTGGGTGCCATGTCCTTCTAGTTTTAACCCTACAGCTGAAAACAACTGCTCTGTTTCACTGCGGTTTAATCCAGCCTCTAGTGGCTGTCTCACTGACAGCCGCTAGAGGCACTTCTGCGATTCTCACTGTAAAAATCACAGTGAGAAGACGCTGGTCGTCCATAGGAGCAGCACCTATGTAATAGTTTTACTAGCTTCCCAGTGATTTCCTATTGGAAAGCATTAGATTGGCTAAGAGCATCCAGATTGATGATCTCAGCAATGAAGGCAGGGCTATCCACATCGATACCAGCATGACATGGGAGAAAAGGTAAGTAAATTTACCTTATTTCTCCATTCTGGGAGGGAGGGATGGCAGGGACCCTGATAGGTAGCCTAAAACTTTAGTGTTAGGAATACATGTTTGTAATCCTAACACCATAATGTTCCTTTATATTTTTAATTTACCATGAATTCTGACTTTACTGAATAACCCTGTAAATCTTTCTTAGGGGAGATATTGGATTCTTCTTCAATATGGAGCAAGAAATGCATCCAAAGATTATTCAAATATTTAGCTTGTGTGAAGAATCCCCCTCCATTCATTCGGTACTTTCCCTCCCTGCTACTTTATCCATGGATTTATTACTGTGACGAAGTGCCCTTCTCCACTTGTGCCTGGAGAGGACTGCTTGGCCGCCTCTTGCCCTGTGACTATGGACCCTGGGAGATTTGGCCCGTTCAATTCAGTATGATAGGAGTTATGTATTTTTGTATCCTTTTGTGTTTTACTGGGAACATGTGCTCAATGGAGTCTGCCTCTATCCCTGGATATAATTGGATTATGTTCCCCATTGTCTCCAGGATAGAGGGCTCTGTAAAACTGGTTTGGGCCAGATAGCCATGCTGCCAGCCATGCCCCAAAAGATACTTTACTAACTTCTGAACCCCTGGTCTGATTCATGCCATTTTTTGATATGTTGTTTCCCTGAATGGATTGATTGTGAATATATAATTTTTATGTGAATGTGATGTATATTTTAGAAGTTATGAATATGCTGTAAAAACTGTATTTTTCCTACCTGTGATAATTGATCTTCTATTGTATAAGATAATTGAATCACAGGCAGAGGGGAGGATTTTGTGTGGGCTGTAACCTCTGTTTTATTGGCTACTGTAGATAACGTGTGTGTCCCTCCCCTGCATGGGAGCAGGGCATAAAAGAAACTGTAGCTTGAATACCTGTTGTTGTTACTTCCAGTAAAGTCTTGTTCCAGCATTAAGCTTTGGCTCATGTGTGGATTATTCGGTGATACCAGCGATTTACTACTCTGTGGATTACTTGGGGATTTTATTTTATGGGAAGAAGGGAGGCTTGACGGAGTAACGGATTGTACCGTCACAGCTTGGTTTCTGAAATGTAGCTAAGAAGAAATCTACATTAGTATCTGGGGAAAGGTATATCTCCTGGTGCTAAATTCAACCATAAAGACACTCTTCATGGACTATGGAGTGTTTAACAGAACCCCCGTTTGAGCCCATAGAAGATTTCCCACTAAGGCCTTGGCTTAATATATTTGGATAAACTTTTCAAATGATTTAATATTTTTTTGTATACACTTATAAAATGTTTTTGTTTTGGGCCTATGCGAGCTAGACGCATCTCGGAACAGCTCCGCAACTCGGCCCGGGTAAACCAAGATACGAGCTGACACTGCCTGCACTACCGGGCTCCATTTGCTGCAGACCAATCCCTGACAGTATGGGGGAGAAAAACAAGAAGATGTGCTCGGATCCGGGCTGGGGTTCCCGAGATATAGCACATTTATGTGCAGGACAGTGCGGCCTGATACCGCCAAGATAGTGCCCGCCGAGGCCTATACACTAATGTCCTCAGACGAGGACAGCAGCACAGCCGGACTGTCTCCTCCACTGAGGCGGCGAACAGGGCCACAGGCATACACAGAACAGGATGACTCTGCCCCATCCACCAAGGCTGACATTAAAGCCTTAATGAAAGAGATCCAGGCCATGTTTAATGCGGACATGGCACCAATCCATGAAGCAGTGTTCACCCTAACAACTCGTGTGCATACAGTGGAGGAAAGCATGAAAGGCTCCAAACTGGCACAATCAGCTACAGATGCTGCCGTAGGAACCCTGCAGAAGCAGTGTGCTGACCAGCAAGCCCAGATGGAGGACAAGGCCAGAGCACACAACCTGAGGATAAGGGGGGTGATGGAAACGATCTCAGGAGCAGATCTCCCTCATTATTGCAGGAGACTCCTTGCCACTCTCCTCATGCCCAAACAGACCAAACAGCTTGGTCTGGATTCCTGCTTCCGAATTAACAAAGCAACCTACGCAGCCCAAGAGGTACCCAGGGATGTCTTATTAAAACTGGTGCGGGACTCTGACCGTGGTGTTATTATGGAGGCAGTCAGGGGCTCCCCCACAGTCTCCTTTGAGGGGGCACAACTGGCATTTTGTCCGGATTTCTCAAGGAATACTTTGACATGGCGGAGATCTCTTAAGCCAATTACCCGGCTCTTCCAGGAGAACTCGATCACTTACAAATGGGGCCCCTGTCGTCTACGTGCTGACAAAGCGGGCAAGACATATGCCATATCACACCCAACTGAAGCGCCTGTCTTCCTGCGATCCCTCGGCCTGCCAGAGGAAAAGACGCCGCCACCAAGTCACTCAACCTGGAATGTAGCGGACATCACCCCATTTGTGCCCAAACTGCCAACCCTGAACTCTGTGGCCGCACCTAACTGTGCCTAACTTGCATATAATGCAACTTAAATGTGTTCAGTTTTTTTTTTTTTTTCTTTCTTTGATGTTAATTGAAACTACCATGCCTCTGTTGTTCTGGCTCCGTATATAGATATATATATATATAGCCTCAGATATAGCTCTCAGTGTATCCCTGATCGCATTGAGCACGCATGCGGTACCCCTGTACCATTATAGCCAACCCCGCTTGAGCCGCATATGACCACGGCCTCCTGTTTCTGCACCAGCATAAACGCTCTGCTCTCTAGCCATAGAAGGCTGCCCAACTACATATACTGAACACACGTGCCTTACTAGTCTGTGTTTCAGAGCACCACAACAATCAGTCACAAGGCGCATGAAGCCCATTCCTGGCATTCCACACATTACAAGCTCATTAGTTGCCTATAGGGGAGTTTGGGTGTCTTGGTTCATAACCACAAAACTGAGTAGGTTCAGCTTGGTGATGTCTGTCCAACTCCAGTGTCCATATTGTTTATATGCTATTCACATAAAACTTATTTGCTAAAAAGCGCAAAAATAAAGAAAAATAAAATGTTTTTGTTTTGTTCTTCTCAAAATATTCAAATATCAAGAAATATACCAATATATAAAAAAATGTAAAATATTTTTCAGAACATTAAATTATTTTAAAAGTTTATCCAAAAATCGTAAGATAATATATGAACTAGCAATATTATATTCAGATCTGCCTCCGTTTACAGTTTGTTAGACACATACATAATCCTTTTGGCTGTGTATCTAGAGTCCCGAATATGTTGCAAAGCCTTTAGCAACATTGTAACTCCATTCTGTTACATTTATGGATGTTCAAACTCATATAAATTTGATAGAATAAGGCAGGCATTGTTACACTTAGAAAGTCAAGATTTAGTTACCTATTTAAAGGAACCGCTTAGCCACAACCCTCATGTCAAAAAGACTTTCTTATCAAAAGTGTGCATACTGTTTCAGCTCGGACAGCAGTGAGTGAGCAGCTTTAAATTCACATATGGCTGCAGACAGTCAAAGAAACTACAAACATTTGGTGATATCCTTACTATATGCCTCCCTGTGTGTCCTCTCCTTCTCTGCTTTCTTGTTCTAATCATTCAGTACTGTCAGTGGCTAAACTGTGTGTATATGTTTAATAAAGAAGTGTTTCTGGAGTGAGGGGGTGTGGCAGTCCTCTGCCCCTAGCGTTTACAAAAATCCAGTAAGTTAAATACAAATACAGCAATTCTTAATCCTGAAGTATTTCTACCAACCTTCTACAGTAATCCTTTTACTCCTTTAGAAAGAAAATATCACCTACTGGAACTCTCCTTTTTTTTCCAACACGTACAGAACCATTTGGGAACCTCTTTGCCCTTTTTAATGGGAAATAAAGAGATCTTTTAGCATAAAATGTTTCTATTTTAAGATGGATAAACTAAACTATCCTACACATGTATGACAGGCTCTTCCTGGCGACACTGCAGAACTACTAGATGCCCACTGACCCAGGAGTAACTCAGTGCAGCTGTTAAGACCACAAAATCGGGCAAATTCCCTGGTCTGGATGGCTTGCCCCTGCATTACTATAAATGCTTTGCAGAATAACTCTACAAACAATTTCTCCTGGCCTTAACGCAATTAAGGATGATCACATGATTTCTGTGCAAATGCTTTCGGCACATGTCACGATAAACCCTAAAGAGGGCAAGAATGTTAAGCATTGTGCGAACTGCAGACTTATATTGCTCCTGAATTGTGATTTAAAATCGTTTGCCAAAAATACTAGCGATGTTCCTTCAACACTATATTCCCTCATTGATACACTTAGATCAGGTAGGGTTTGTTCCTCATAGAGAGCCCAGGGATAATACACAGGTTCTGTCACTGATACATGGATGAAGGAGTCAGTCAAGCATCTTTCTCCTGCTGTCTACTGATGCGGAAAAGGTGTTTGACTGGGTGCACTGGGACTTCCTGTTCCTCATGCTTGAGCGGATAGGAGCTATCCAATGAAGTGAATTAAGGTTCTATATAATGACCCATCGGCTCAAGTCCTGGTTAATGGGCATTCAAAGAGCCATTTCCCGCTGCTTTTCCTCCTTGCCCTCAAGCCATTACTGGAATCCATGGAATCCATCCGACATACTGGAATAGTAAACAAATACATCATAAAATAGCTGCTTGCACAGGTGTCCAACCCCTTAATTTCCCTTCCAAACATAGTGGTAGCGTTAACACAATAGGGCCACCTTTTCCACGTAAAGATTAATACTAAGCATTGACATACCGAGCAGATGTGCCCACCCAGAGATTTGTATTCTAATGGTCAGACTCTTAAATATGGTATCTGGGGACTTGGCTTACAGTCAGTACAGTGGACCTTTATTCACAAAATTGTGTCCCCATTCCCCAAAGTGAGGTCAATTAAAGGACCACTATAGTGACAGGAAAACATACTCTAGGGGCTCTAGGGGGTGGAAGGGGTTAAATTTACCTCTTTTTCCAGTGCTGGGGGGGACTCTCCTCCTCCTCCTTGTCGTCATCGGCTGAATGCGCGCGCATTTAGCCAGTCCATAGGAAAGCATTCTCAATGCGGTGGATCCCGCTTACAAAAATAGGTCTCCTGCAGGCATGCAACAGTTGAGTTTAGTTTGTATAGTTCCCCTAGAGCCAACTTCCTTTTGTGTGATGAGTTGAGATCCTTTCCGTTAAAGGGACACTGTAGGCACCCCGACCACTTCAGCTCATTGAAGTGGTCTGGGTGCCAACTCCCATCACCCTTAACCCGACAAGTGTGATTATTTACCTTGCAGGGTTAAGTCCTCCTCTAGTGGTTGTCTATGCTTTGGGGGACTGCCTGACAACCAAGGCAGTCTCCCTCCAACAAATTCGTCCCTCCTTGGCTTTGTGATCGTGATGTAATCACAATTACATGATCGCAATAGCAGGCTAAAGAACTGTCTGTAGGAGGACTACCTGAGATGTCAGACAGTTCCCCCAGAGCTGGAAATAAAGCTGAGAAAATAATTATACTTATGTCAAATATATGTTTAGGTCAAAATAAAATTGAAATTACACATATGAGTATAGTTGTGAAAGGGGTTAACAGGCCTATAAATTCTTTTAAATTTCTTCCACAGGGCCAAGACCGTCTGGTTCAGCCCACCCACCACTCCATGTTTTAAGCCATTCATCTTGGGGGGGGGCCTTCTTTTACAGGCCTACCCGAACATCGGTTTCAGCTCACCACAACCAACCTACACCACCACTACTATTACTCGGCTTATTGTTTCTGACCACTATAATATTAACACAGGATCTCCCTGATGAGTATCAGTTTGGGTATGGGAATTGGAGGTGTGGGGGTACCTAACATCTCTAAATATTATTTAGCTACCATTCTAGCACAGATGGCAAGACTTACGATGACACCATAGACTACACTATGGCATCCATTAGAAAAGGCAATCAGTGCACCTTATTAGCTATTGGATCTGATATGGGTCCCCACCCACTTACAACCCCATCGACCAAACCTATTGACAACTACAAAAGTATCACTCCGCACTTTGCTTAAATGGGCTCCCAAACTGGTTACTAAACCCATGGGCATGTATGCCTTTTTAAACAGCTTAACATATTGAACAAATGACTTAGCATTGTACCATTGGACACGGAGGGGTATTACTAGGGTAATGAATCTTGTATATGACAATGGGATATGACAGTTTCCTAATTCACAATGAATTTTTATGCTACCAAACTGAAAGATGTGTACATAGCTGCATCTGAAACATGTCCTAGAGGGGGCTGGGCTGACCAGAGTTAAAGGACCACTATAGTGCCAGGAAAACATACTCGTTTTCCTGGCATTATAGTGCCCTGAGGGTGCTCCCACCCTCAGGGCCCCCCTCCCACCGGGCTCTAGAGTGAGGAAGGGGTTAAACTTACCTCTTTCTCCAGCACCGGGCGGGGAGCTCTCCTCCTCCTCTCTGCCTCCTCTCCTCCTCGGCTGAATGCGCATGCGCGGCAAGAGCTGCGCGAGCATTCAGCCAGTCTCATAGGAAAGCATTCACAATGCTTTCCTATGGACGCTGGAGTCTTCTCACTGTAAAAATCACAGTGAGAAGCACGCAAGCGCCTCTAGCGGCTGTCAATGAGACAGCCACTAGAGGCTGGATTAACCCTAATATAAACATAGCAGTTTCCCTGAAACTGCTATGTTTATAGAAAAAAGGGTTAACCCTAGCTGGACCTGGCACCCAGACCACTTCATTAAGCTGAAGTGGTCTGGGTGCCTATAGTGGTCCTTTAACTCCCTTAAGCTGTATACATTTAATAAACTATGTCTGGGACTCCCTAAACCACTCTCTCTGTGTTACCAATGGTTATTGGAGGCTGACCGACCTGCAGAACTGGGATACATGGTACAATGGGAAAAAGCTTATTGTAGTATTGAGCCGAACAGATGGTTTGCAACATTGGTACAAGTGAAAAAAGCTACACACTACCTAGACCATTTTGAGGCAGCCTACAAATTGTGGATGAAGTGGTATGGAAAATGATATATTAAGTGCATGCAGTGTGCCTTTCATGGATGCAGTGTGTAAAGTGGATGCAGATTGTATGTTTGTGTAATATTTGTGTGTATTAGATGCAGAGGGTGTGTTTGTGTAGTGGATGTAGTGAGTGTATAGTTAATGCAGTGTGTCTGTGTAGTGGATGTAGTATGTGTGTATTAGATGCAGTGTGTATAGTGAATGCAGAGTGTGTATAGTGAATGAAGAGTGTATATGTGTAGTGGATGTAGTGTGTGCATAGTGAATGCAAAGTGTGTTTTTATAGTGGATGTAGTGAGTGTATAGTGAATACAGAGTGTGTGTATGTGTAGTGGATGTTGTTTGTGTATAGTAACTACACTGCAAAGAGTGTGTGTGTGTGTTTGTGTGTGTGTGTGTGTGTGTGTAATGTGTGTATAGTGAGAACTTAAAAAAGAGGTGGGAGAAAAACTAGTCATGGACCCTATATGTAAAGGACAAAAAAGGGGAAAAGATTTGCCCAGACCAAGATATACAGATAACAGATTTGAAATTAACTTTTATTGATGATAATGAAAAATTTGTATTGGTGAGGAAATGAGGAGTAAAACAATTGTACAGATTCCCTTAAACAAAGGTACCTTTATGAGTGCAAGATAAAGCACTATGTTGTATAAAGAAACACTGTTGCAATGTGACTCATAAGGTGAAATGTTGCTATTGTTGGCAGAGACTGGACAATGTGTGTGGCATGCAGCTTCCCAATGGTGAAATTAATTTAGTATACAGTATCAAGTCTTTTTGTTGCTGGCAGAGACGTTTGCATATGTGTCTCATGCAGCAGTGAGGAAGTGAGTAAAAAATATTTTGTACAGACTCCCTTAAAGGACCACTATAGGCACCCAGACCACTTCAGCTTAATGAAGAGGGGAGGAAGGGGGGAGAAGATGGGAGGGAGTGGGGAGAAGGGTATGTGGGGGAGAAGATTATAGGGGGAGGCAGGGGGGGAGATTATAAGGGAGTGGGGGGGAGAAGATTACAGGAGGGGGGGGAGAAGGTTACACGGAGGGAGGGGAGTGGAGAAGGGGTTACAGGGGAGAAGGTTACACCTGAGGGAGGGGGGAGTGGAGAAGGTCACAGGGGGGGAGAAGGTTAAGCACGGAGGGGAGGGGGGAGTGGAGAAGGCTGGCAGGGAGGGGGAGAAGGTTGCCACCTGGAGGGAGGGGAGTGGAGAAGGCCGGGGGAGAAGGTTGGCACCTGAGGGAGGGGGAGTGAGAAGGTTACAGGAGGGGGGGGGAGTAAAAGGTTACACCTGGAGGGAGGGGGGAGAGTGGAGGAAGGTTACAGGGAGGGGGGGAGAAGGTTACACGGAGGGAGGGGGGAGTGGAGAAGGTTACAGGGGGGAGAAGATTACAGGGAGGGAGGAGGGAGAAGAAGAAGATTGGAGGGAGGGATGGGGAGTGGAGAAGATTGGAGGGAGGGGGGAGAAGAAGAAGATATCCTTCCGGAGATACGGTCTCCAGTACTGCGTACAGTACTCCAAGCGGGGTCTGACCAGTACTCTATACAATGGCATGATCAGTTCCTTCTCTCTACCTCTAATACCTCTGCCTATACAACCAAGCATTCTGCTAGCATTTCATGCTGCTCTATTACATTGTCTGCCTATCTTTAAGTCATCTGAAATAATTACCCCATAATTGAAGATTATGCTAGCTTTAGTGTACTAATAATCTTAATTTTAATAAGGACAGGAGGCGAGTATTTTGCATTAACTCTCTTTACTAAACTCCACAGCAGTAAAGAAAAACGTAAAGAGTAACAAATAAATCACTGAGCAGCATAGTATATATAAGGGTCATGCTGCCTGTACACTTCCTCTTTCTTAAAGCGACATCCAAGTCCAGATAGAGCTCAAACATCCAGAAACTCAACGAAACAGGAACTGCGGTCTCTGGCGAGCGGAACTTGAGGAGACTCCTGGTAACGAGATAGGAGGAAAGACCAAACGAAGCCGTCATCCCATCTTACGGAGTCATGAGGTTAACGAACCAGCGACCAGTGGAGGTCCTGAAGAGGGTTACACTGAAAGGAGAGTATAAAATCGGTTAGGTACTGAACCGTAACTGTTCACGCCTGTGGGCTTTAACAGAATGGTGTAAGTAAAACAGAACAGACAGACAGTAAGCTGGCCATAGGCTAAGTGTGTGTTAGGTGTAAGCATGTTGTACAACTAAACTGTCCGTCTAAGTGGAAACACCGGGATAGAGATGGAAGGGATACCGAATATATACAGAAGGTAGAGTAACTACTAACACAAATCCCAAAATCCATCACCTTAAGATCCACTCCCCCGAGGAGTCAGGGTAGGGAACAAAAGGGAGGGAAAATACTCGCCTCCTGTCCTTATTAAAATTAAGATTATTAGTACACTAAAGCTAGCATAATCTTCAATTTTATAACATGACAGGAGACTTCCTATTTTGCAGTTTTAACGCTGAAGAAGAGACATCCCAGCAGAAGGGGGAGTGCGAAAGTAAAATGTACGGAAAGTGGATTCCCTAGACCAGTCCGCCGTTCGGAGGATATCCGACAGGGACGCCCCTGCCAGGAAGGCTGATGACGCTGCCGCTCCGCGAACGGAGTGGGCGCCGAATGCGGGGTCTATACCTGCGAGGGAAAGGATCCAGCGGATCCATCGGGCCAAGGTGGTAACCGAGACTGGGGCGTGAGGGCGCACGTAGGAGACTAAGAGTTGGCCCGACGTAGAGGACCGGAGCGAGGAGGTAACCAAAACATACCTGCGGAGGGTGGACACGACACAAAGCTGCGGTTCGTCGGGAAAAAATGGGTAAAAGACCGAGGTCGAACCCGACTTAGTGCGACGGGAAATGTGAAACGTGACCCCTTCAGGGGCCACTTCGAAAGCGTCCACGTCGAAGGCCCGAACGTCCAAAACCCGTCGGAAAGATACGAGGCAGAGGAGGAAAGCGCACTTAGCGGATAGTTGGCGTAGGGAGAGGCGGTCATTCGGAAGCCAATCCCTGAAGAAGCGGAGAACCAGTCCCACATCCCATAGGTGAGGGTATCTGGGGGCGGGGGACGGCGGAGCCGCATACCGCGGAGTAGACGGCAGACCAGAGGGTCTTTGCCGACCGGGAGATCCCCGACGGGGGTGTGAGCCGCCGAAATCGCGGAGCGCACGACGTTGACCGAATGGTAAGAGCGGCCAGATGAAAACAAGGAGGAGAGAAAATTAAGAATCATGGGAATAGGTGCTGTAAAGGGATCGGAGTCCCGTTCCATGCACCAAGTAGACCAGGAGGCCCAAGCTGAAAGGTAACAGCGTCTAGTTCCCGGGGCCCAGGAGTCCCATAAGAGGTCCCTAGCAGCCTGCGATAGTCCGCTGACTCGCCAGGAACCCCCGAAAGAGACCAAGCCACCAGAGGTAGCCGGTCTTCCAGGAGTAGTGGGTGGAGATGCCCTTTGGGATCCGTGAGCAGGTCCGGGAAGGATGGTAGGAGAAGAGGGTCCCTGTAGGAGGAGGCCAGGAGGTCCGGGAACCATGGTTGGCTCTGCCACAAGGGCGCTATGACAACCAGTTTGATCTGTTGCGTCCGTATCTGGTGTAGTGTTCTCGCAATCATGGAGAATGGGGAAAAAGCGTAGGCTCCTGTCGACGGCCATTGTTGGAGAAATGCGTCTGTCGCCTTGCTCTCCGGGAGCCAGCTGAAGAACTCCGGGGTCTGGTGATTGTTGCGAGAGGCAAACAGATCCAGGTGAAAGGGACCCCTCCGGGCTGCAAGGGCCCTGAAGATTCTCGTGTTTAGCTTCCAGTCGCTGACGTCTCTCCAGTGGCGAGAGAACCAGTCGGCTGTGAGATTGATTTCTCCTGGCAAGTATTCTGCCTGTAGCGTGATGTTGCGAGGGAGGCAATAGTCGAAAATGCCTCTCGTGATATCCGACAGCAGGCGAGAGCGAGCGCCTCCCAGGCGGTTGATGTACTGGACTGCGGATACATTGTCCATGCGCAGGAGGATGCAGCAGTTGGATCTTTCCCGGGCCAAGCTGCGAATCGCGAAGGATCCTGCCAGGAGTTCGAGGCAATTGATGTGCATGGAGAGCTCCTGCGCCGTCCATGTTCCCCCCGTGGAGATGGTTCCGTTGGTGGCACCCCATCCCCACAGGCTGGCGTCTGATTCCAGTACGAAGTCTGGGGCGTCTCCGAATATGGCCCTGCCGTTCCAGGCTTGCATGCTGTCCAGCCACCATGATAATTCCTCGCGAACCTCCATCGTCACCGGGACGGGTTGGTCGTAAGTAGGCCTGCGGCGTAGGTATTTCGCCTTGAGACGTTGCATGGCCCTGTAGTGGAGGGGACCCGGAAATATGGCCTGAATGGAAGCCGAGAGGAGTCCTACAATCCTGGCCAGATTGCGTAGTGGAATGGAATCGAGACGGAGAACCCTGCGAATCTCCTTGCGAATGGCTGTGATCTTTGAGGCTGGTAGCCTCAGAGTGCATGTCGTCGAGTCGATCTCGAAGCCGAGGAATTGTATCGTCTGGGTAGGGGTCAGTTCCGATTTCTGTTGGTTTACGATAAACCCCAAAGACTCCAGTAGGGACACTGCCAGGTGAGTGTGTTGGCGTAGTCTGTGTTCGTCGGCGCAGAAGATGAGGAGATCGTCTAAGTAGATGATGCATCGAATGCCCCTTGATCTTAGGTGGGCCACCACTGGTTTTAGGAGTTTGGTGAAGCACCATGGGGCTGAGCTGAGCCCGAAAGGGAGGCAAGTGAATTGCCAAGGGCGTCCGTGCCAGAGGAAGCGTAGGAGTGCTCGACAGTCCGGGTGCACCGGGACTGACAGATACGCGTCCTTTAGATCGAGTCTGGTGAACCAGTCGTTGCTTCGAAGAAGGTCTCGCAGGAGGTGGATGCCTTCCATCTTGAAGTGGCGATAGACCACATATGCGTTGAGGGCGCGTAGATTGATGACGGGGCGGTATTCTCCCGACTTTTTCCGAACCAGGAAGATGTTGCTGAAGTAACCACCCCCGTCGCGGGCCGGCTGGATAGCCCCTTTGTCTCGGAGCTCGCGTAGCTCCGTGTTGACAAGGTTGTGGTCGGAGGGTGACATGTGGATGGGGCGAGGGGCTGAACCTGAAAAGGGGTCCCCACTAGGTCTATGATATAACCCTGTACAGTTTGTAGGATCCATGTGTCTGAGCATAGGGCGGCCCAATTCTGGAAAGAAAGGGAAATACGGCCCGCAGTGCGGGTACATGGTAACAGTGGAGGAATATGGGTCCTTACCTGCGGTAAAGCGGGAACGTCCGCGTCCGCGGGGTCCACGACCTCTATCCGAGCCTCTGGAAAAGGATTGCTGCCGGTAGTCTCTTGTCGGGTAAAATGGTGTTGGTTGAGTGCGGGGGCCTGAAGGCCAAAATCGGCTGGCGGCACGGCCCCGTTGCCGGCCAGCCCTTCCAAAAACCCCTCTGGTAGGGTTGCTTCTGAAAACTCTGCGCATTGAGGACTGCGCCTTATTGAGGGAGGTGAACACGTTCACGTGTTTGTTGAGTTCCTTGAGGAACGGTTCGCCAAATAGTTTCCCTTGTGCCTGGGGCCCAATTTCCTTTGTGCCAAGGTCTGCCAATTTGCCGTTAATACGGTACAACGCTGCTTTTCTTCTCTCCGAAGAGAGCGTAACATTAGTGTTTCCGATGAAACAAAAACACCGTTGTGCCCACTCACGAATATCATGTGCCCATTCCCTGATGTCCTCAGCGGAGAAGGAATCGGCTTT